AATATATTGTGTTCTCACTGTGTTTCTGCACAGTTTATGTGGAGCTTCTGCAGTATACATGCATCCGCGTCCTACAAGGTCGCTATTGCCCATCGTTGGGCAAGAGTATACCTGTTTGGATTTGGAAGTCACGCTCGTATCTGCCGGGAATAACCTTTTCAACTAAACCCACGTTGGTCTGCCATTCTGGTTACTCATCTGGACGACATACTTTTCAGTACTCATAATAAGGTACTTATTTCTCTTAAGTAGGCCCCTGAGTAAGAGTCAATTTGCAATGACGATGCCGACTATGTCAACTTCCCTGCACCATCGAAGTCATGTTTGCGACAGTACGAAAATAAAGATAAGAAATACTTCGCCCAAAAGCGTGTCATCTAACTTTTTATGACACATAGACTAACTAGAAGTGCTTCGATGACTGAATCAAAGGCACTAAATGAAGTAGGGATGGACCGACAAATTGTCCTTCTGCTAGCTGATGAGGGATGATCAACTGTCGTTACGAATCGAATGGAGCGTAGTGATAAACCCAAGCCTCTACTCTATGACATATAGTTTTTCAGACCAGCCACATTTCCGATCACGGAGAGAGAATAATGCTAAATGGAATAGACGGACACTCCTGTCTGCCAAATATTCACAACCTAAATATTTCAAAGCAGCCAACCGTTGCCCTACAATTCAGTTCCATTTGCGATTTCCTAAACTTGGTGTACCCAAAGCTAAAGTTTTCCATAGGAACTCGATTAATTGAGTACAATCCATGGGGGCATCTGTTGGACAAGTCATGTTATCCTTTAACATGAAATTATAATTCACACCCATTCCATCGATTCTGACGCAATATGTCTTGCTAAGGGAAACTTGTGTAATTATATGACAAAACGGAGAGCTCACCGAAAATTCAGCATCTTATGATGGTTTTCAAATTCTGAGAAAGACCTACTTTTACTTTCTGTGAGGAACCTATGAGAAAATCTTTGGGAGACCAGTTGGTTACACGATTCCAAATTTAGTGGAAGAGCTGGTCTTACAAGAACCAGTTGCTGATGTCATATCGCCTTTACTGGGGTGAAGTATTTGTCAGCATCAGAAAGAATATCTAACTTGATCCCACTTGTCTGTTGAAATCAATATTCCCAGATGCAGAATTCAAAAGCGAAGGCCGATAATGCAGACTTTAAGAGGTCTGGTCAATGACTGGACCAATACTAACTTGTGTTAGCCGTCTGATTTTTGAGCAGCCTCTACTTATTGCAGTGTTCCCTGTTTTCGTCAAGCCCCGTCCGTTGAATGACTTCCTCGATGACTGGGATCATTGGACTGAAAGACACTGTGGCAAGTAATGTACTCGTTCAACGTACAGAGTGTGTCGTGAAGCTGACTTAGACAAACGCCATCTGTGACGACCCTGTTCGCTTTCATGTGCGACAATTTTAGGATCACAATGGCTTTTATGGATGCAACAAGTATGTTTTCTCGTAGATCGAACTGCGACAACTGACGGCATCCCCTTAAAATCAAGCCTCTTGTGAACTGCATAATCTTCCCAGTGTACAGTGTTAGCCTGCACGACGACAGGTCATTCAGGTTATAAGGTCAGAAACTGCACAGTAAACATAGACCGTAATTCGTCTATAGACGCCTAGTCGGCGATTAATTGATAGAATCGGTCGGAGAACCGGTGTAGGTTGCGAGTAAAACGTAGTAGCAACATCCATAAGGTATAAAATTTTTCTTTGAATTACCGTCTTCATGTATTTTGTTTCAAGGAGTACCCAACAATGATTTCGCATGCCCACAGTTATTTCCACCTAGAGACACGGTACATAAAGTTCGAAAATCGCCGCTAGCACACTAGATACTATTTCCCCTCTTCTATAATATTGCTTTAATCATAATGAGGTGCATCCGTAATCCAGCGGAAGAGGTTTATTTGAGGTCTGACATTCCAAGTAGTGATTTCATATGCTCATCTCCAGATACTGGAGATTCGAGCGTATGGCTCCCATTGAATGACTCTATGGCCCCACCCGACTCGCATTTCACTGAGAACAGTGTCGTTCTCGACCTCGGTGGATTTGCAGATAACTGGCGGCCGTCAGTGTTGCCTGTCAAGGATATTCGTAAAACGGGGATGGGGACTAGGATCTTGTAAAGAATCCCCAGTGTCTTACCATAAGCATACAAAATAAATACCTGAAAGTCCAGACCCCCACTAAATCCTCCCGATAAACGCCTTTCCTACTTCTGACATTTCACCTGAAAATCGCATTTTTATCGCCATCGCCATTGCTAAATACTTCAATGGCGATTGCATTGTGCATGCCTTACTACAAACCTTTTGTGCAGCATACATCGGTCGCTTGTGAAAGTGATCATGATTTTGATATGGAGGCACTTTAAAGTCTATGAAAGGACCAAATGGCTGTCGAAATCGAGTAAGTTTTCACGAAATATCTATTTCTTGAGGTATTATCTCTGTTACATCATCGCCCATCCCACCTATGCAATCTGGCCGTTGATTAGTTGTAGTTCTTTTAGCCGTATTGCAACATCGCGCGTGTCCGCAGATTTATCTGGCATGAACGGCGTTGAGCGCTCGGCCAGACGTGTGCTTTCTGTCCATTGATATTAGAGGAGGAAGAGGAGGTGGTGGTGGTGGTGGAGGAGGAGGAGGAGACAAAGGAGGGCACAGAGGAGGAATTGCTAGGTCAACAGTTCTGGCAATTATCAAACATAAAGATGAGTTACGCTAAAGACTTCTGTTTGTTGACAAGAGCATTGGGCTCGTGGAGAGGGTGCCAATACTAAGAGTCTAGGTCTGTTGTGACAGGGAACATACATTAACAATACGTGGAGCCTCCATACGTTCCGGTTGCAGAACGATATTCACTCATCTTGAACTTCAACGCAGTTCTTTAGTTTTTGGGAGGATGTACCTCCATGTTAACCGGTTAGTTACAAAGCGACCTCCAGTGCTCATCTCATAAAACAGCGGTCTAACTTGCCATACAAACTATTTTTTGGCCCTTCCGATGTGTCCAATAAGTACGCAGTTAAATTTATTTCAGAGTTGATATATGACGAAGGACATGTGTTCTTTGTCGCCTGGATATACTAATAAGTTCGTGTTTTCATGATTTACTATAAGCTACTGCAATACGTATAACCGCTTTTGGAAAATTGTCTTAAAAGTCTACTTTGTCGGGAATATTTTAGTGAAAATGTATGAAAATGCCAAAGCACAACAAAGCATGCACTCTGCTCGGTTCCCCATTGTCTGTGAAGAACAGTATTTTCAATCGTATTTCAACTCTCTTCCATGCAAAAATGTAATGTGCTTGCTAAAAGGATGTCTAGCATTGCCAGTATAATCCACAGCTTAAGTATCCTTCTTTCTGTAAGCTGGGTTGTCATGAGGCATAACAACAATTTCATTCATTGGGATAACATAAAGCAACGTGTTGGGCATGTTTCACAACTTCCCGCAAGCTACTCCCTATTAGACATACATTCGGCATTCATAACCACTTTAATTCCTATACATTCGGGCGTGGTTTCCAGACGCATTGGAAAGAAATTTTGATTGCCCATAAGCCCTTATTAGCCAATGGGTCTGTTTACCGGAATAGTCCATTTTGAAGAAGGAGACACGATCGCCGGGACAAGAGCTTTATTAGCCTGACGTTTCGGATTCCTATTCGAATCCATCATCTGAGACAAAAAAACAGAAACGGGTGGTTGCTGCACAAGGGGCTGCGGTATTTATAGGATGCCGTAGCCATGCTACCGCATACCTATGAATATTCACGGCTCCCCCCTTTATCCGGGATGGTCGCACTTGGTGTGATCACTGCTTGATGGCCGACATTCGAGTCGATAACTGCTGCAATTTCATCACGTGCGTTGGATGTTGGCGTGATGATTGCTCGACCATCTGACGCACCGACCCCGGTGTTGGGAAAACTGTTCACCTCTGCGCTCCCCGCATGGCTTGTTACTCCGCCTAGGCGAAATTTTAGCACGCAGTATGGAGTGGGAAGGTTGTTGCATTGCATGATGGACTGGGGGCCAGTAACCCATGATTCCAGTAGCTCCCGGCTCACGCGGTTGTCACCTCTTGCGAGAATTTCGGCCTCATCGAATTTGAATGTGTGGACGGATCTCGTCGAATGAGCCGCAACTTGAGAGCTGACGTCATTTCTGCGCACCGCTGCCGCGTGTTCGGCCATTCTCGTTCGGAGCAGTCTTCCGGTTTCTCCGACGTAGTTGCTTTGTCCGCAACTGCACCAGATCCGATAAACGACTTCAGACGTTTCCAGCCGTGGCAGTGGGTCTTTCGGTTTCATGATCAGACGCCTGATGGTTGCTTCCGGTCTGTGTGCCACTCCAACCCCAAGTGGTGCGAGAAGGCCCCCAGTCCATCATGCAATGCAACAACCTTCCCACTCCATACTGCGTGCTAAAATTTCGCCTAGGCGGAGTAACAAGCCATGCGGGGAGGGCAGAGGTGAACACTTTTCCCAACACCGGGGTCGGTGCGTCAGATGGTCGAGCAATCATCACGCCAACATCCAACGCACGTGATGAAATTGCAGCAGTTATCGACTCGAATGTCGGCCATCAAGCAATGATCACACCAAGTGCGACAATCCCGGATGAAGGGGGGAGCCGTGAATATTCATAGGTATGCGGTAGCATGGCTACGGCATCCTATAAATACCGCAGCCCCTTGTGCAGCAACCACCCGTTTCTGCTTTTTTGTCTCAGATGATGAATTCGAGTGGGAATCCGAAACGTCAGGCTAATAAAGCTCTTGTCCCGGCGATCGTGTCTCCTTCTTCAAGACTACTTGCTGGGACTCGTCTCTTCGCTTCTATTGGCAATTTTCCATTTTCTTCACAAACAGCTGTGAACGAGCACAAGTATTTGATGAAGTACTTTTTAAATATTATTTTATTGTTCTTTTTGATATGAACATGAATTCAGCATGTTCAAGACATTATCTTGCGCATTTCAAATGAGTACGCGATTCCGTTCTCCAGATTACATTTTACATCCGCAGGAATCACCAATTCGGTCTAAATACATAAAAATTCACAGGTTTTATTATATGACTTGTTTCATTAACTATGCCACGCAAAAAAACGAAACTTACCAGTTGAACCACAAGACTGGCGTTCCATTGAACTAGCTAAACGTAAAAAGGCATTTGGTTATTTTTGAAAAAAACACAGGTTACACAACAAGATGTTTTCACCGTTACCTGGGCACGAGCACTGATCACCTAAAATCGCAAACATGAAAGTAAATTCAGTGACGCCAGCGCGGTAACACTTGTTTATTTTGAAGGAATAAACGTGTCAAAGAAGTATGATTGTATTTGTTAAGTTAAGAGACTCGAGTACCTTTAGTAAGAAAAACGATAATTGTAATATCCCCTTGTACAACCAAAAACAGAACACATAAACATCTTAACCCATAAAACTGTTCCCTGACAAGTTTCTGATTTTTGATTGTGGTGGCATAGGGGCTCTCACCGATCGTTCTTACGGAGCCCACTCATTTGATTCTGCCTTATGGGCTCTATCTCGAGCTCAACCAGCAGCCGTACAGCGCAGCAAGACGTAGGCAGAATAGTATTACCGGCAAAGACAAGGGAGACTGGAATGGCAGTTTCTGGCTTATCAGCCGTTGTCAGCCAGTCGTACTCAACCCCGAAGTGTGGAAAACCTGAAGCTTGAACTCGCGACCTGTTAGTTAGAAGCCCACGCCTATAAGCACTGGTCCGCGGGTCCTTGTCTTTGTCAGCAATAACATTCTTTAATTTTGATCGACATTTTAAAAAATATGATTGAATGAGGAAATGGTAAGTATGAACATAGATTCATTGCTTAATATGTTTAAGTCACGACTTTGAAAGATGCAGTGCAAACAGAAGGAAATTGCAGCAAAACTAGATGTACACGTCTTTCATAAAGTGGTTAGTCGACATTAGGCTTATTGGTTGATCGAATGCTAATAACGCTGTGCGCAATATAAATAAAGTTTGATTCGTCAATATGTTGCGTCATTCATTATTCACTCGCGATTTTGTTTTCGTTTCTTTAGCAGTTAGCGTCTGCTGGTCGAAAATCTATAGACACATTGATTTACCATATAACAAGGCATGTAAAAAGACAAAAAACGCGCTTGGTATGCTGAATGTTAGTTTTATTATGCCGTTAATGGGGTTTCCCAAAAATAAGACGATATATATGTTCCCCTCAGTCAAGGGGTGCTTTAGTTGGCATTTTTGAAATGGTCGTGTCTGTCTAATGTGGTATCTTTCTAAAATGGCAGTTAATGAGTAGACATTAGACTGTTTTGAATTCTACATTGCCTGCATAATTTACACTAATAGAAATGAACGGATGTTACTGGGAACTTGGGTCCTTTTTGCATCAAAAAATTCCCCACTCAAAGACTGGTATTTTATGTTATTGGATAAGCGAAACATGGTGACAAGTCCCAAATTCGATAAAAATGCATACTTTCTGGATCCTTTGCTTCGTTAGCTGTGATTTCCTTTTCCACCGATATCGACGCGGCTAGAATACATATGACATGATTTGGCGCTATTTCACACAAGAAAAAATTCAAATAAAGAACCCTATCATTGGCCACTTTTTAAGGAAATTCCACGGCCATGTGTAGCAAACATGTGTGATCTGAATGACGCTCAAATGTATCCAGCTCACGCTTTTATCATACATATTTTTGACCGTCAGCATAAGCATGACTGCTAGCACCACATTGCATGGGTTCCACTGCTGATGTACTTGTATGTAAAACGCTACTTTACATTGTGAAAAAATTGTCACTCAATGTCTTTTGATTCAGAAACTGCTTTTGCAGTACTTGTAACTCCTTGTTAAGTCCGTTTTGTTTAATTTACTTGCATTCGCGTTTTAATTCCATTTATTGCAAATTGTGCACTTACAGTGGTGTAAAGGTGTTTAATGTGGCAGACAAGAACCCATTTAGATTACATATTTGTGTCGAAAATTCCGCCTTTAAAAGTGTCGTAGGTTACTAGATACTGGTTTTCCTTTTACACTTTAAGCGTTTCAAATTTCGTGGGCCAGTGTTTTAAGTTATCTAGCCAATAATAAATAATGACGAATATATCGTATTTAAATACGTACCCTCGTGATCCACCGCTTTGTCATCTGTAACTTTTACATTTAATGACAAGACCGAGTCTAAGGAAGATACTACATGCTTAAGTGCTATTTACAATTGAACTAAAAGTCAAATGAAAAATCCTATCACAGACCATTTTCTTCCGAGGAAAAACACTGTAATATTAACCAAAATGTAGACTTTCGTCAAGAATGTTGCTGCATAACGTCTAAATAGCGTCTGCGTAGAGATTTATCGTATTCGCCTTTTCTTTGAACGTCAGCATGTGCAGGTTGTAAGAAGGTAACCAAAAAAGTGCCTATAACTCATTGTATGAGTCGTATACCCAATGCATTTGGGTTTTTAGGCTTCAATTGTGCCCTTTGGCAAGATTATCATGCATTGTCGCTACATGCCGAAACTGCACTTGGCAGTGTTTCACCTCTTTTAAAGTCCGTTTGATGAAATTTACTTTTTGTGCGCCTTCTCTCCATTTTCTGCACATTTTGCACTTACAATCGTGGACAGAAGCATATAAAGAACATCCATTGTGGTCGAAAAATATCCGTAGAAAATAAGCGCCCTAACCTCGGCCGCATTAGTCGAAGTTAGATGGAAATAAATGTAAGAGTATCAAAGAAAGTTAGTTAATAAGCTTGATTACAGTATACTTGCTGGATTATGAAAATTTATCCAAACATCTTACAATCGTCTAACATTTTTCGATGTGCCTTGCTTAATTTCTGAGGAAACTAATGCGCGAACTTGGAGTAACTCTTTCGAAAAAGGCCTTTTCAGGCACGGTCCGAAATTTGATATGAATATTTGAGCTGAAATCCATCAGCTACTGCGGAATAACCGCTTAATATTCACAAACCGTCAACAGGCAACCAGTAGTATAGCATTGTGCAATAATTTACCGTACTAACAACACAGGTATTAGCTAAAAGCCCAGACACGCGTGTTCGATGTAGTGGAAAGAACCATATAAAGAAAATCCATTGTGGTCGGAAAAAATCCGCAGAAAATAAGCGCCTTAACCTCGGCCGCATTAGTCGAAGTTAGATGGAAATAAATGTAAAAGTATCAAATAAATTAGTTAATAAGCTTGATAAGGGTATAAATACTAGGTTAAAAAATTTATCCAAACATCTGAAAGATGTCTTCGATTTAAAAATATCCCTTAAATCGTGTTCTAACATTAGTGATTGCGAAACGCACCCTTCAGCATTTCAGTCATATCAGAATGCTCACTTTTGAACGGGCTTCTTCTTGATCACTTAAAAATTGCATTCTATAAAAATGACTGCATAATTAGCAGGACATTTATCCGTTGAGTTTTTAGCCATATTTTATATAAACCTTAACGAGCCTATTCTTTTCTGTACACATTTGGCAGCATATTACATCTACTTTAACTTCTATTCCGCAAAAGTAAAGCATGTTCTTGTTTTTAAAAAGAGTCCTTAATTTTCGTATAATTCCTCCACACCTTGCATCAGACGTACATTCCAGGCTTCTCATCTAAGTGCCATTTACATTCCGTCATATGAATATCACATATTTCTGTATGTTGTTAGAATGATATCACTAAACAATCATTGCACTGTGAAGTTTGTGTGAAAAAAATGATTAAATTATAGAAGTAACAATAAACAACTTTTAATATGAAATTGTGTGAGCGGACGCTGTGTCCTCTTAAAAGCTCATTAATAAAATAGTTTTAACACAAAAGATAAATTTTTGAAAATAAAATGGAAAAAAATGTAATCGGCGATCAAATAAACAAATGAGAGTTGTTTATGCACGTTTTCCATAAAAATTTAATTTACCAGGTAAGGGTGTTTTAAATCAATGGAAAATGTCATTATTATGAAGTCATTTATTTCAAAGTGCAGACTTCCCGGGCGGCTGATAACAGCCTGTTTTAAAAGGCGGAATGTTGATCCGACTAAAATGGTTTAGTATTATTATGCATTTTTATGTATTTTGTAATTCCATCTAGGTAATATTTTTGAATTAAAAGCATATTTCGGAGTTTCGGTCACCATTTCATAAGATAGCCCACCTACCGTACATGCTAAGTCGTTCTTGACGTTTTTGAGTGTTAATCATGTAACACTGCACACATCGATGTTCTATTTATAACGTAAATCTTACTGCGGCTCTGGTCCTGTTTAAACATTATAATTTTTAGAACGTTTCTGTGTTACATAGAAATCGTTTGAATCTTTGATGTCTTAAAACCTTGATAAACAGTTGGTGGGTTAGCTCATTAAATGTCAACCGGCTGCATGCAAAAACTAAACTATGTAGGAAATGACTACGCATGTTGAGCGAATTTATGTGGTTGATTTTCGATGCCTCCAGAACTCGAATTATATTGCATGACAAGCATGCATAAAAATATTCATTTTTTGCTTATTTGGTAGAAAATTACGTCTTATAATTTTATACTCCAATGAGATACACAGGTCGGGTATAAAACGTTTTCCAGTTCCCGAATAATTTTAAATCCGCTCTACCGTCACAGTTGGATTCAGGGTTTGCAATCTACAAGCCGTAAATTTTCCACGTATTGAAAACCACACATTTCTCTACGGTACTAAAGGGGGATTATATACGGTTCATAAAATAAAGCAGTGGAGTTGATCCATATTGTTACCTTTACAAGCCACCTTGGTAAATTCAGAGATATGGCGTTTTGTGAAAGGCCATTTTACGGTATTTATATGTCGCACAATTAGAAACATTTTTAAAACTGAATTTTCTCCCTCCTTCGAGTATAACATTAGTTGAAGACGTAATTGTCTACCAAATGAGCAAAATAATTAACATTGTTATGCATGCTTTCCACGAAGTATATTTGGACTTTTCGGGACATCGAAAATCGATGAGAAATATGCCTTCTACTTAATAGTCATTTTTTACAGAGTGTAGTTTTTGCGTGCAGACGCAACTGAAGTTCATTCGAAAGCCTACGCCCTAAGGTAACTGGATTATTATATAATTGTCTGCAGGCAGATTAGTTTTACAACCCCACTTAATTAATCTTTTCGAAACGAAATTTGCAATTCGGAATTTCGGTTGACATTGCATGAGTTAGCCCACCTAATGTGTATACCAAAGAAGTTTATTGTCGTGAACATGTTAGACCGGCAATTGCGATTCTTGTATGTGTACTAAAGATGAATTTAGTATCCATTAATTTGACTATTTTGCCGGCTGTATCGATCAAAATGAATACAATAGATGAGTCACGGGTTTTGTGTTGGATTTCTAATATGCATATATGATCAACAGAGGGAATGAGAATAAATGCATAAGAATTGAGGACTGAAAATGCATAAAGCATAAGCTACACCTTTGCGTAATGCATCTAAAACTGGCCAAAACCGCAGCAAAACTACTATGTTCACTTTTCTATTAACGTTATAGCTTCATGATTAATCGACTGTTAATGACTATTCTCAGAAAATTTAAGTTAGCAATGTTTCAGCAATTAAAAGATTTCTCTTGGTTTTTACATTTTCTCCAGATTGGGAGTATGCAAGAAAATGAAACCTGTAAAATCATGTTATTTGGAATGTACGATTATGGGCCTAAAAATGCAAACATTATAATTAACCTGTTTAATGTGCTACTAAAATTATACTGATAAAGACAGTTCGGAAAATGACTGAGTTCCATGCGCGAAGCCTTCACTCGACTCCTCATCTGCCGCCAGGTCATGGTGTCCAAAGACCCCCTGCCATGGCGACAATCCTCCGGAGTCGCTTTCCATATTTGGTTCAGTTTCAGACAATGCAACTACGACGGCAAAATTGAAGAAATAGTCTTCATGCGAATGGTTACATATGTAGCAGCAGCAGCAGCAGCAGCAGCAGCAGCAGAATGGATGAGCTATGGTAGCTCTAAGACCGCAGCTCATAAAACGTGGTTTAGAAGCGCTTTAAAACTTGACAAGGCCAAAATACTTGCAAGAGGCAAAGATCGCGATTGTTGTTAACATTTGTGAACACGCGGTTTCTGGTAAACTGTGTCATGTTTATACTACTTGATTTCTGCCTCTTCTACTAACTTCGGTGACTGCCTTTGTTAATGGGCTAGAGTGAAAATCAACATTTTTAGGCGAATGAAGTTCTGGTTGTGCTTCCTATAACTCATTTATTTGCTTCAGTTGAGGCATCAACTCGTTATAGATGGAAGGGCTGAAAGGCTTTAAAAAGCAGATGTCATTTAACTACATCTCTACGGGCAGTCTAAGAAGTTGAATGAAGAATATTTTGAATTTTTTACAGTGCAGCAGAACTCTGACTCAATATACTTAAATTTTTCGCAACTAAGGATAAGTGTTTCGAGTAACTTCCATAGCGACAAGGAAACTTATCGTTATGTGCATTCACTACCTGGATCCACTGTTTTCCTTTCTGAAAGGTTCTCAGTCGTCGTCGGTGACAGATCTACAATAGATTTGGCACAAATGAATGTTATCTTGCGATGGGACAAAATGTTCAATAAAGACGCCTATTAACGATAATGCTACTTTTGGCACTAAAACTCCCTGCAAAGACAAGAGAGGCAGGAATGGTCATTTCTGGCTTCTGGGCAGTAATCCGCCAATCATACCCAACCCCAAAGTGCGAAAAACCTCGATGCGAACCCACAACCTGTTCGTCAGAGTTCAATGGCATCCAACCACTGAGCTACTGGCTCGTTGTCCTATCAGTTGTGAGCGGTGATGCAAAATGTTAGAGGGGCTTTCACAGGTGAAGTAAGGTAACTTACTCGTCCCGTTGTGCTCTTTCTCGTGCCCAACTAGCAGCCGCTCAGCGGCGCGTGATATAGACAGATGACGGTTAATAAACCAGAAATTGCCATGTCGGCCTCCATTGTCTGTGTCAGTTAGGTTGTTCTGCTTATATGACGTGCCGCTGTATGTCCGCTTGTTATGCTCGAGAGAGAGATCTCTAGGGCCTTTCGGAGGAGTGAGTTCCTTAACACGACCGGCGAGCACCCACTGAGATCTCGGGGATTGTATTGCAAT